GGATTAGAACATTTATTGTCAATTTTATTCTTAACTGTTGAATTTATATTTTATTCTTAACTATTTTAAATATGCTGTACTTGCTAGGACTCTGAATTATTTTTTAATAAAATATTTTATTTTTCAATATTAATCTTTATATTCCATAAAATAAAACTTTATGATTCAATCGATAGAAAATAAAGGCGTATAATGATCAAAGCTGGATTTTTAACGTTTAGATAATGATTACTATTATGAGATAGGCGCTTAATATAAGATAGAAGCGTTTCTGCCGCTATCTTATATTATAAACTAATAAACGCTATCTATTGGTTCCACCATGTGAATTTATTGCTTTTGGATTGAAAACTTTAGCAGAAAATTCATTATTAAGTCATGTCCGTAGTCATTGTAAAACAAAATTTTAGAATTTAGATGTTTTCAAGTTTCATTGAGATGAGCATTTAAACCTTATTTATGATTTAATAAATAAATATTTGGCAATAAATTCTTCATGTGATAGAATAAGGTCATACTAATAGAAAATATGGAATATGTTGAATTGTTTAATTACAGAAGTTAGATTTGATGATCATAAAACCATAAGGTGTGGAAATTAATATGAGATATCCAGGGTATTCCTAATATGAAATAACCCAGTTCCTATGTATTATAGTGAAAATCGTTGCTAAAATATAAATGTTATTGTATAATAATAAAAAAGACAACCGGAATGAATGTCGAATGTCTATATTTGCGATGCTTGATTCCAACTACCTGAAAACAAATTTTGGATATAATCTATCGCATGTTCATTTTCGCGCACGTTGGGTTGTATTTTAGAAACATTAAATAAAGTTTTTTAATTGCAATACTGATATACTTTGCTATCGATTTCTCGGGGCATCTCATATTAGGAGCACAATTTTTTTACTTTGCAATTTGCTCTTTGTATATTTCTTTAATTTAAAAAAAAATGGAATTTGAATTAAATTTTATGTAACATTATCTTAAAGTTTATTAAATCCCCTTCAAAATGACCTATTATTTTTTTTTATTCTGTCTGTAGACTTCTAGCACTTATCCAAAATGAACTTGTTCTCTTATAATAGGCGCCTTTCCTCTATGTACTGTATTTGTAATCATTTAAACTGCATGTCAAATTAATTTTTTTCGGACTTAGAAATGCAGGTAACAGAAAATATTTACAATTTTAATAAAATATTCATATTTTAGTTTTATTTTCTTATAACGCACATACATATGTATACATATCTTTTCAATTAATTCCAAGATTATTAATATAATAGCATTGCATAACAAGGATTGCTTGCATCGTGCATAGAATGTAAAGATTTTTTTAATATTTGCAAATTTAAAACAAGTTGTGCAAAACTAGGTCTATCTTGTGGAACCATATTCCAACAAGAACACATAATTTTATATATATTGTGAGAAACTGTATTAGGACATGTCAAACGACATTTATCTTGAATTAAATAATGCAATAACTTGTTGTCTTGTATATTAGCATATGGAAAAGAACCTAGAGTTCCAATTTCCCAGAGCACAACGCCAAATGACCAGACGTCACTTTTAGAAGAGAAAGCATGATTGCATATAGCTTCTGGTGACATCCAACGTATTGGGAGTTGACGAACTTTGCCAGCCATGTTATTTATTACATATATTCCATTTCGTGACAAACCAAAATCAGAAATCTAAATCCATAATAAATCCATAATAAATAAAATTTGTATATGCTATTTTTTAAATAATTATTATACAGATGTCTACTACCTTTAGTGTTAGATCTGAAGTAAGAAGGATATTTCTTGCTGCCAAATCTCTATGTATAATTCCTTTAGCTTCCAAATGTTCCATTCCTCTTGCAATATCAAACGCAAACTTTATAAATTGTTGATTTTCAATTGTATCGTACAAATTTTCGTTATCATTTTTGTTTTCAACAATATTCGCACATTTAGATATAGTCTTTTCAACACTATATAAAAGTTTATCACCTGATTTAATTTTTCTTCTGTAATGTAGATATGCAAGCAAATCTCCACCTTCCATATATTCTAAAAGTATGCATATAGGATTGTTAGGTAAAGTACAGCAACCTATAAGGCTCACTAAATGTATATGAGAACCAGCTGCCTTCATTATTTTAATTTCTTCCAGTAATTGATGTCTGGCTTCAGGTTCGTTACATGCATCAGAACATTGTGACATTTTAATAGCTATTAATATGTTTTTATTGTTGTTTAAGCTACCTAAGTATACTTTACCAAACTGTCCCTTTCCTAATTCATATATAAAATTTATATATTTGTATGGTACTTCAAATTCATCTTTTTGAGCTTTGCAACATGTCTCCTATAAGAAGTTTTTTAAATTAAAATTAAAAATTTTTTTTTAATTATTTAATCTTTTTCCATTTACCTCAGATTTTTGTTCGACATATACATCGAAATTACGTCTCTGAAAAACTAGATCTGGCCATTGAGTTAGTTTACAAGCGGAAGGAGACACTGTTTGTCTCCTATCGTTAAAAATAAAATGTTTGCTATAATAAATATACAGTAATTATTATATACATACATAAAAAATGTTTAGTAAACTTTTTACTTACCGTTTGAAAGAAAATACAAGTTGATACCCATTTTTATTATGTGTTGATATAATACCAATAAAGCCTACTATAACACAAATGACAATACCGGCAAGTAATAGCCACTATAACATAATCATATAAATTTAATATTATACATATACATATATTAATTGTTAATATATATTTTTATATATACCATAGTACTCCTGTCCAATATTTTAATTTTGCTTATATCAACAATGGTGAAACCACCTTGAGTTCCTAAACAATTTCGATAATCCATTGCAGCTACCAATATTTTATATCCATTTTTTACTTTTATATATTGATCATCAATTCTCATGTCCCAATTAAAGGTATTTATTGTAGAAGTCACATTACTTATCTTTGTGATATTATACACAGAATGTCCCGCTTTTGATATCAATAATGGTATGCCAACACTAAAATATTGCATCATCATTCAAGCAAAATGATATGACAATAAAATTAATAAAATAAAATAAAAAAATCCCACCTAATTATATAAGAATAAATGTGAGAATTATTCGATGTACTATTCCAATTAATAACTATACTTTCTCTTTGTCGGATTACTTCTACTTTTGGAATAGGCAAGGTAGATTTTGCATCCGCGCAACTGCATTTATGTCTTATACATTCTGGAACTCTATAGATGACCTATAATATAATGAAAAACATCTTGGAAATTTCATATAATATCTTTTTATAATGTTAATTTATAATTTCACCTCTGGTAACTTTCTTATGGGTTTAACTCTCGGATTGGCATACACTTGTATTTTGTACGTACAATTTGGATGTATTTGTATATCCGATATATCACCCAATAATTTATTTTGTGGTACTAATATGCTAAATTGACTTTTATTTTGCACATTGTAGAACGCAAAACCTTCTGTACATTCTGTCCTATTTATATCAGTTTTTTTTAACATACTTGTAATCATAACACTATAACACATATTGAAATTTTTTATTATTTATATAATATCTTTATAAATAATAATTATTAAAAAGCATTAATTAATGCAATACCTGTATGAAGAAAGTTCTTTTTCTCCATTTGATGGCGTCCAAGATATATTCAATTTCAATGATTTTAATGCAGTATTGCTTTTGAAATAACTTTCATCTTCTGAAACGTACACTGTAATATTTTCGACAACGCCAGCAAATTTTGTTATATTTTTTGCATTTATTGCATCAGAATATAAAAGCAACACCATAATTATATCATATATTAAAATATATTTACACTGTATAAACATCTCATTTTATAGTATATTTTCTAAATAATTTAGATATATTTTTATACTATTTTATATTTTTATTATAATGTATTAAGTTATATCAACAAAATGTTTACTTCAATCAATAATACTGTGCTTTATTTCAACTTCAAAGTTCGAATAGGATTTATCTTTAGCAAAATATATATCTGGTAACTCTTATCTGATAATCGAAGTGCTTAAGAACCTTACGACTTCCTATAATGAAATGATAAATGATCTTTTCATTGTAAAAATAATACATATTATTTAAGAGATAATAATTGAAAAATCATAAAAATTATTAGGAATATATAATTATTAATTCCATAAACTACATAATGATTATAATTAATGAAAAATTTATTCTTATCAACAATAAAAATTAATATATGTATATATACATATATTTTTTTTTATCATAAATCATATTTACACACATATGCACGCACGCACGCATACGCACGTACACGCACGTACACACAACTGTCTTCAACACTTTCTTATTTAATATTTCAGAAATTACACAAATGGCCTCGGCTGCAATGTCACCAAATGACGATGACGAACTTACTCTTCCTCGTGCATCAATTAACAAAATAATCAAGGAAATATTACCTCATGTGCGAGTGGCAAATGAATCTAGAGAACTTATTTTAAACTGTTGTACAGAATTCATTCATTTGTTGTCTTCTGAAGCAAATGAAATTTGTAATCAACAACAAAAAAAAACTATAAATGCGGAACATGTTTTACAAGCACTTGATAAATTGGGCTTTGGTGATTACAACGCAGAAGCAGAGGCTGTATTACGGGATTGCAAAGCTGTAGCGGCTAAAAGAAGACGTCAAAGTACCAGATTAGAAAATTTGGGAATTCCAGAAGAAGAATTATTACGTCAACAACAGGAGTTATTTGCTAAAGCAAGAGAGGAACAAGCAGTTGCAGAACAGCAACAGTGGCAACAATTACAAGCTGTTACACAAATGGCATCCATGCAACAAGGTGACAGCGAACAAGAAGATTATTCATAAAGAAATTCAAATGATGAAGTTCGTTTGTAAAATCAATTTTTTTTTTATGTAAGAAAGATATTTATAATATTTAACATAAAATAGGAGCAAGGAAGCGGAAAGAGGAAGAGAGGAAAGATTAATAGAAATGGAAACAATAGCGTTGAACAAAATGAAAAATATTGAATGCAAATTCTATTATTTTTGAAAACTGTTTTTAATAATTTAATTCTACAGCATATTTTACAATAGTGTATACTAAATAAACTTTACATTTCTTAATTTAAAATTATAATATGTAAAAATGATACATAATAAAGGTGGATTAATTATATATCTTTCATCTCTCTTTTTATGTCCTTCTTTCATATAAATTTTTAGATTTAAGGCATTAATCTTCCATATTCAGAAGACAGATGACTTTTCTTTATAACTTCTATGACTTTTGAAACGTAATGATACCTATCGATAATGTTCGCATTATTTTATTACACTTATAAAATAGACAGATTTCTTGTATTCTTTTTTTTGGAATAAAATTGTATATTCTTGTCATTCTTGATTTTCTCTAAAGATTTTATTTATTCTATTATTGGGAGTCAATAAGTTTCCGCCGTTTGCAAAAGACGGCGCCACTAATAAACTATAGTTAAAATTGTTCGATGTAAAACGACATATCGTAAGATTGGACATCCGGCAACACCATAATCTTGAAATATTAGCGATTTTGTATTAGCATCATATATTTTTTTTTATACGAAAATGTCGACTTTTGAGCCGAATAAGCGTCATTTGCGGGAACTTTTGATTTACTTCTTTAATTTGAAGAAATCTGCAGCTGAGGCTCATAGATTGCTTGTAGAAGCATATGGTGATGCTGCCTTAAGTGAGAGAAGTTGTCGTGAGTGGTTTCAAAAGTTTAAGAACGGTGAATTTGACATCGAAGACAAAGAATGTAGCGGAAGGCCGAAAGTGTATGAAGACGCGGAATTGGAAACATTATTAGATGAAGATTCGTGCCAAACGCAAAAAGAACTTGCACTTACATTAGGAATGACTCAACAAACAATTTCATATCGTTTGAAATCATTGGGAATGATTCAAAAGCAAGGGAATTGGGTTCCATATGAACTGAAACCGAAAAATGTTGAACGCCGATTTTTCACATGTGAAATGCTGCTTGCCAGGCATAAAAGGGTTTTTGCATTGTATAGTCACTGGTGAAAAATGGATCCACTACAATAACCTAAGAGGAAATCATGGGGACCACCTGGCCACTTCAACATCGACAACCAAGCCGAATATTCATGGAAAAAAACTCATGTTGTGTATTTGGTAGGATCAGCTTGGTGTCGTGTATTATGAGTTGCTCAAACCGAACGAGACCATTACTGGGGCTCTTTACCGAAACACAATTGATGAGAGATTGAGCCGAGCACTCAAGGAAAAACGCGCCCACTACTACTCCAAGCATGATAAAATTATTTTCCTGCATGATAATGCTCGACCACATGTTGCGGCGCCGGTCAAAACCTAGCCTTAGAAACACTCAATGAGAAACCACCCTACCCACCCGCCGTATTCTCCAGATTTGCTCCTTCCGATTACCACTTGTTCCGATCGATGACGCATGGCCTGTCTGAGCAGCACTTCACATCATATGAAGATACCAAAAATTGTATCGATGATTGGATAGCCTTAAAAGATGAAGCGTTCTTCCAACGCGTTCTATCCACATGCTACCAGAAAGATGGGAAAAAGTAGTGGCTAGCGATGGCCATTACTTTGAATAAAACATTATGTACCGTTCTTTCACAATAAATGCTTAATTTTTGATAAAAAACGGCGGAAACTTATTTGTACTCCCAATAATTTAATAATCAAATCATTAGAATACAAATAGGAATCGAAAGTAAGATAAAGAATAAATAAAATAATTCAATATCGGATTAAAATTTAAAAAATATATAAGTCTTAAAATATTATCTAATTACCAATTTTTTTCTGTTAACACAGAAGGTGTAATTGAATTCCTAGGAACTCCATATATCTTTGTTCGCAGTTTATCTATAAGAAATTCTTCATTTTCACAAAAAATCATATCTTCTGCAAAAAATACGAATGCAATTAAATATATTAAATGTTAATATATAATTTTTCATAAATGATTTCATAAAATAATCTTTTACCTTGTTTATTTCTCGAAGGTATCAAAAATAAATTTAAACCACTTTCTGTCGAACAATGATTCATATCTATACCGCTATGAGTTTGTAATCGAGAACTAGAAAATATTTTATTATAAAAATCCTGAAAAAAGAATATAAAATTTAAAATAATAATAATTGAAAATAGAATATAAACAAGTTTCTATATTATGATATATTTGATGAGACTATAATTTTCCTATTCTTAATTTCCTTTTCAGTATTAATTTATATTTTAGTAGCTTGTTCTATAAAATAAAAACGCTGTTTAAAACGTTATATGAAATTAATTGCAATGTAATTTAGAAAGGCAATTAGAAGAATTATTTCCATAATGCAATCGAAATCAGTCGATAGAAAAAATAATATAGAAACAAATTAAATTTATAGAAATTTAGATAATTGGAATAGAACAATGGAAAAGATAAAACTAAAAATATAATCAAGGCCAATATTATAATTGATTTTATAATTGTTTTTTATATTTAAGAATTAAGTACAGTCTTAAGATGTCATGAACCAATTAGAGGCTTATATTAATCATCTTAAGACATTATTTAAAACGATCTTAAAATAACGGATTATAAATATTGGCCTAAGTTTAAGGTCGATATTCTTTCATAGTTCATTCTTATTTCAAAATGGTCTTAAGTAATATCTTAAAATGTTAATATGGCTCTATGATTGATTTATTTTATTACATCTTAAAGCTACTTAAAGTTTTGAGTAATCACTGTGGTTATATTGGATCGTGATATAATCGAGAAATGACATGTTGAAGTTTCTTGTAAGCTATTGTATACTTAATTGAATAAAATAATGAGATCGCTTTAAAATATTTGTAAAAATGAATCAAAGTTATCCTTATGCTCCTCCTTTGATAGTTAGTAAATAGTAAAGCACGTAAAAGTGAAAAGGCTTTGTATATGTAAATAAACATTAGTAAATGCACTTCACATGCTCTTTGTTTATTGACTATCAAGCTAACTTTTCATGCGTAACACTTTTAGCAAAAACTAGACGCAGCAAAATGTCATGTAATTTAAATTTTAGAGAATTGATTGGAAGTGTGTTATCTCACAAAAAAATTTTAACCAATAATAGCATTTTGCTGCCACAGTATGCTACGCATGAAAAATCGGGGAGGAGGGAGGGGAGGAGGAGTGGAATAGCTTCGGTCTGTTTTTACAACTGCTTTAAAACGATCTCATTTTATTTTATCCAAATTTTCTTTATTTATGGAAATGGCTATTTAACAAGTTTAGCTTGTCAAATAGGATAGCATCGATCTAGGTAACATGATCGCGATAGCGCACATTTCGTTTATAATCAGTGAATGGAGACATAGAAAATAACCTGGTGATCTTGTGGATTGAAATTATTATTGGAAAGTAAATAAAGATTATAGTAAATTGAAAGTTGCTAAATTGAGGAATTGAAGGAAGATTTAAAGAAAAGTGAGCGCCTTTAAGAGGAAAAAAGGCCGAACTTATACAAGGTGTCTCTTAAATAAGATTCGAGCCGCATTTTGGGCGTAGAATAGATCAAGAAGAATGAAAACATCTAAGCCAATGTGCGATGAAGCCGTGCGAATATTATATATAACTTTATGTTTTGCTGCGATTTACCGTTTTTTCATTTCCTCTTTCGGGGAACCGATGCTTTCCTCTATTTTTGCATTTGTATGTCACATGCCTAGCATGTCAAAATTAAAATATTTGTCTTTATATACATTTTCATAAACAGACGTAATTTGACATGTCTCCAAGCATACTCCTATCGGCTACAAGTGGCAGTCATCATCTCCATAAATGACATGAAAAAAATGGACACTTTAACGCGCCATTTTTTATCGCTTATGATCCAATAATGGTCACAGTGACTATTTAGGAGCCTTAAGATAAGACTAATAAGTAATAGTTTAAATATAAGAGTTGACTATATTTAGTTATAGAAGATAAGACATATTTTGAAATAGATACATTATATGTGATAAAATACCTTCATTTCATCAATAGTAGCTGGCATAAAATCTTGCAATTCTGCTTTATTATGCAAAAATATAACATGTGGATAATATTCTACATAATCTTGATCTATGACTGTTGTTGAGGACGGTTTTAACATTTCTGCAGTTTCTAAAAATCTATAAGAAAAATAGACTTCATTATATATTGTATAACAAAATACAATAGACTTCATTATATATTTAATAACAAAAAGTAATTATATATTAATAAATTAATAATAAATATTTTATTATATAATATTTTATTACAATATTACCTCACTAAATTTGGATCGACAAACCAATCCTGCACAAATATAATAACATGGCACACTGAAAATAAAAATGCTGCAAACTGAAGTGATTGTAACTCCAAATTAGAATCACTATTCATAAAATCAGGTGCACCTTTTTTCTGATCAAAGGATGCAGCAGAGTCAATCACAAATCCAGAAAGAATTGGTTGTGTATCCAAATATATTACTCTATTTTTAGTTATAAAAAAATCTATTCCAGTGGTACAATTTGTACTACTTTCATAATGTGACAAATCTTGAATTTGAAAAATGTTAGATCTAATCATATAAAATAAAATTATTAAAATAACATTAATTTCAGTAAAAAAGAACTAATATCACATATGTTGCAAATAAACGTAATACATACGAATAATGTGATGTTAGCAGTGACATGATTGTTGATTTACCGACACCTTGTGCACCTAAACATCCAACGACTAAAAAATCTTGTTGATCATACAAAAAATCTATTGAATTTTCACATAGTTGCATATTTTCATCCATGAATTTGATGCATGTATTCATTTCAGGGCATATGGAAAGTATACGAATCGCTGAAATATCATTTTGATATCTTAGGTAATCTAATATTTTATTTATCGTACGACAAATTTTTCAAGTTGACTGGTTGCAGGATAGAGAAATTCTAGAATCTTCTATCTTATAATGAATCAATACGCTTGAAAAATTTGTATGATAGATGAAATATTAGCCTACTATTATAATTTATTTATATTTTCATAATTTATTTATTTCGATAATTTATTTCATATCTTATTGTTAATTTGTTAAATATGAAAACATTGATATATTCTACATTGAGATATTCTAATCTATATTTAAGACATCCTTCTAATCACGAATTCTTTGTTTAATTTGATATCAACTTTTTCAGCAAAGGACATTAATAATTTCCAATTTATAAGCAATTAAAAAAAAACAACTTTACACGAATTAAACTTCAAAATGGATAATAGAATTACTTTTTTATAATCGAATTTTAATTTTAAGTCTAGTTATAAAAATACATGATATAAAAGGAATTTGCAAAAAAATGATATACTCGATATTTTTGTTTAAAAAAAACTTCAAATTATTCAGAAAATCTCATTAAGAAGATATTCAATAGTTTTAAGACTTACGGATTATTTTATACATTAAATATCATAGATATTTTTCAGTACATTAACATCTTTCTAATATGATGCCTGATTGAGCATCAAATTGTTATTAAAAATGGCTTGTCAATTTAATTTAATTTATGATATTACAATAATTTAATTGCGTTTATAAATCCGGAAAACCAATTAGGCGCGAAGTTCGAATGATTACGTACATGAGCATGTACATATATAGTATATACAGTGCCCACCAAAAGTTTCAGGCTGGCTAAATATCTCAGAAAATATGCATTTTTTGAGAAAAATGTTTTTAAATAAAAATTATAGAGTTTAAAAAATCTATTTAATGATCTTATCAGTTTGATCTTGGCGTCGCCAATGTCAAGGTCACATCGATTTTTTTTTATTGGTTATCCTATTTTTTGATTCTAGAATCGATATCAAAAGCTTTTCAGAATATTGCAATAAAGGTCATTTTCATTAAGTATTTTTCGAATTATAACGCTTGAAAATGAAGCAATACCAGCATCATTAATACCCAAGACGTCCGACCGACAATTAAAATCTCTTGAATTTGTTCGGGATCATACTCTGGATAACATTTGTTAAAATCAAGGTTATTGAAGATTGTTTCTCTTATTTCCATTTTTGCACTAAAAATTTATTTTTATGTAAAAGTGAAAATAAAAGAAACACTCTTCAATGAACCACATTCAAATCATATTTTCAAAAATATTTAGCTAGCCCAGACCTTTTGACGGACACTATATACAATCATGTTGAATTATTTAAGCAAAGATCCAGTTTCAACCGTTATAGGCATTTTTTAGTATTGATTGTGTTCTCATATATGTGATCTAAAATAAAGATTCTTAATATTGATTAAATATAAATTACTCACATTCTTGTACTTTTGATGCTACTGAAGATATATCGATATCTTTTCTATAAAAAGAAGAATTATTATATCATGATGCAGAATGATTCAGAACAAGTGTAATAAATTATTAGTTTTATTGGCAGAACTAGTGCACAGTAAACCCGTTGTATACAAATCGATATAAAGATATACGTTTAATAAAAATATATAGAAACGAATTAAACTGTGAAATATTCAATATATTTTATTGTGCTATTTGATAAAATATACATTTTTTTCAATTGAGATATTCTCACTTTTCTCACTTTTACATTTTGATTAGAATAATGTACAATATGTACAAATGTACTTTAATATGCACTGGGTGCACACTTTTGCCAATGAAAAATGCTATATGACAGATTGTTTGAAAAATAATTTTGAATAAAAAACATAAATATAGATCCTGTTCTCAATACATACAGGATGCACGGAATGTCATACCATTTAAATTATCTCATTAAAACTATATTTGTGAAGAATCGGTTTTTTTAACTGTGTAAGTAAATTCTATACGTCAACATCACCAGAGAAGAACAGCAGTTCAGGAATTGAACAAGGACCCAGACATTATCGTATTTCTAGCGGACAAAGGCAACATGATAGTGATGAATCAAACTACAAGATGAAAATATATAAGGTATCTGAGCCGAATAAGATTTAGCATTAAATAAGACCCATTTTTAAATTTATTACTTTAAAACTCGCTTTATGCCTGTAGTATATGCTTAAAACAATGCTGAAACAATGCTTTCAGCCGATTTTCAGTTTGGTTATCTCACTCGCGCAGTCTAAATGTTAATCAGTAAAAGATGTGTCATAGGAAGTAAATAAAAAAGAACTAAAGAATTAGAATCGGTAAAAACACATTGTTTAATAAAAACTTGTGTGTAGCTATTTTTATAACAATCCGTTGCAAAATTTACCAGTATAATGTTTCATAATTTTTACTGATTATTGCGAAGAATATTACTAAGGTCTCAAGAATCTAATGGACACTATGAATTTATTGCTCATTGTAAGTTAAAAACTGTCACCAAAAATGTGGCAATGCTAATATAAGTATGATGATCGATATTGGTGTATGTCATGGTGTAATTATTCAAAATTCTCGATGTTTTTTTATTCTAGATTTATTTTAGAGCGAAATTACAGTACTTTATATGTGTTTTTCGGAAGTGGATGGAATAACGTGAAAATAAGTGTCGATGTATATTGAGATCTTTGTAGTAAACGAAATGATTTCTGTAGATGATATCACAGGGTCTATGTTAAGCTGTTTGGACTGTGTTGAAATGTCGGGACATTTCGAGGTGTATTCAGATGTGTTGTGATGGAAGTGGAGAGGAAGGATAAGGATATGATAAGCCATAGCAGTTAGTTTCAGTATGTATTTGTAGTGCGAAATTTTTGTAGTGCGAGTGGGAGTGGGTGGCAGGATTATCATTTGGATGATAAGGATATGCTTTGAACTGTATTGAAATATTTATTTTTGTAGTGCGAGTGGGAGTGGGTGGCAGGATTATCATTTGGATGATAAGGATATGCTTTGAACTGTATTGAAATATTTATTTCAAAGTATATTAAGATTTTTAAAGTGGGAGAGGGGGGAGTAATATGTCTGATCAATACAAAAATTTGTAATTGAGTTTCAAATTGTATTTATTCAAAATTTTGAGTTTTCAAAAAATATTTATTTATAAAAAATTATGAATATTTAATGAGTATTCATAATCATTCAAACAAAATATAAAAAAAAGGTCCAATAAGCATCATTATCTTTTAATTATAACCGGTACTTTGATGACTTTATGTAAAAAAAATGAATTTTATTTATTTTTGTCATTATAATATTTAGATTTTATAAAGGAAACCTCGAAATTTTTAAAAATATTTTAAGAAAGATATACATTTTTTATTTACAAATCTACTTATTTGATAGAGCACCATATATATTTCGATATAATTCCAGTTATATGGCAGTAATATTATAAATATTTTATAGGATCTTGGGTGCGACGTTCATTATGTTTATGGACATTAAATTTTGAGATATACCAAGTATGTAAATATGAAACCGGAATTTTTAAATAGAAAATACACGTTTATTGCATGAAAATGATAAAAAATATTTTATTCGAAGTATTGCCCATCGGTAGCTATACATTTTTGACAATTTGTGTATACCACGTCAAAAAAATTCCTCATCTTTCGAGGCAAACCACTCATCAAGCCATTTTCGGACGTCTTCATAAGAATTGAAGTGCCTCAGCGAGCGCGTGGCCCAGCGATGAAAACAGGTGATAGTCAGAAGGTACCAGGTCTGGTGAGTAAGCGAGATGGGGTAGCACTTCTCAGTTGAGTGTCTCCAAGTAGTTTTGGACATTGTTGACGTGTGCGATGGTGCGTTGTCGTGGAAGAAAATCAGCTTGTCATAACTTTTCCGATAATGCGGCCTTTTTTCACGCAGAGCACAGTGCAATTTGATCAGTTGTTGATGATAGCGGTGAGCATTAACAGTTTCACCAGATTTTAACAGCTCGTAGTAGATGACACCCTCCTGATCCCACCAAACGCACAGCATCGTCTTCCGTCCGAAGCAATTTGGTCTTGAGGAAGATGTTGATAGTTGGGCGAGATCAACTCAAGATTTCTTGCGTTTAGGATTCTGAAAATAGATCCATTTTTTATCGCCTGTCACAATCCGATACAGGAATGACTTTCTTTTTTGTCTGGCAAGCAGAATTTAGCATGTATTTTGGCGTCGCTCCATATCTATCGTTCAGTTCATGCGGCACCCATTTTCCAATTTTTTGAACCTTCCCCATGGCATGTAGCCGCATGGAAATGGCTGCTTGAGAAATACCCAATTGTTCGGCAAGCATTTTTTGCGATTGGGTATCGTCCTTGTCCAAAAGAGCCTGCAATTGACAGTCCTCAACCTTCCTGGGCCGATTTTCACGCTTCTTGTCACTCAGAATTGTCGTCATTGAATCGACGAAACCAATCTCTGCACGTTGTTTCTGATAAAGAATAAATTGTCGCCATAAGCCTCCACAAGCATTCGATGCAATTCGGCAGTCGATTTCTTCAAATTGAAACAGAAAAGCAAAGCTTCCCGCATATGCTTTTTTTTAGCAAAAAACTAGACATGATTACGAAAGAAAAAATATATGTTGTTGTATGAAATTGCTGATGTGATGCTGATGTGAATTGATGATATGCACTGGTTAATGTTGACAGATGTCAAACACATAAAAAAAAGTGTGTTGTGTGCCCAGGGTAGCTTTGTACGCTCACTAATGCCATCTATGAGCAAACAGCGGATTTAAGCTCATACACATAGTATATATATATATATATATATATATATATA